AAAAACTTGCATTATTTATTTTGTACGTTTTGACACCATATGTGTGCCATCATGCAGCACGTTTATAACAGGGAGAACACACAAGAAATAAACATTATTATAAGAAAACACAACTTTGGTATAAAATTAAAATGTAAAGTACAATAATGTCGTTAAAAATAAGGTGATCATATTTTTTAAGTCAAAACCGGGACGGCAATTTTTAGTTATAATGAACCAAGCCGTGGAGGGGGGGAGGGGCTTTGTAATAGTTTTTTAATATGAATCAATTTTTTAAAATCAGAATTGCGGACTTTCAGTAAGAACTTTGTTATTCGATTATCTGTAACACTTTTTTGTCTATTATATTTTTCGATCTATATGTTTTTTTTGTTTTTGAACCTTGTATAATTTTTTTTCATCAAAAACATTACACTTGTTCGTTTATTTTCATAACTTTTGTACCGGGACAATCCGAGACAAAATTTTTGATTTATATTTTAATTTTATTACAAAATTTCGTATTGTTTTATTAAATAACAATTTTTATCATTTGTTCTTCTTCGTGTAAACTTGTTGAATGATGACACACATATAGTGTAGAAACATATTAATTAAATAATTAAAATATTTATAATTTTTGATTACAGAATTGTAATCAATTACATGACTGTGTTGATATTCATTTTATAGTGTTTTTATATATGTTGCAACAAACATTTGTTTCCAATCGCACTGTGAATTAAAACTATTTTTAAATTTACGTCAAGTGCAAATAAATCAGTATTTTTCATTCCGAAATATAATTTTATTTGCAGATTTTTTTTTTATGGTTTTTTTGATCAGCCCCCAAACTGACTGATGTTGGGTTTGGACGTACTTATAAACTAATAAAATAATTTAATGTGATTTTAAATATTCTTTTGTTTTGTGTAAATTTTGTAAGCCTTTCTGAATAACATTGAAAATGTTGTTTTAGTAGTTATCATTCAAAAAATGTGTGGAAGAATTCCATCATGTAGCATATTTTTAAATCCTGCTAAAATAATTATTTGTCAACCACTGACGGTTTAAAAATAAAATAATTTTGCCGTCCAAAAGTTATTTTTTCACAGTTGATATGTAAGAATTATTACTTATGTTCAAAAGAAAACGTTTCTAGAAGTTAGTACCCTATTTACTTATCCATGAGCCCATGGCGATTTTTTTTGCTTTATAATATTATAATTTTTAAAAATCGCTTATTAGATATTACTGTCTGCGACAACACTGGTATTTATTATGTCAAAAAGTAGTTTAATTTTGAAGATTTTATTGAAGATCATACTCTGACACATGTCCCAAATATTAAGAAATTTTATCTATTCCTCATTATAATATAAGTGTTAAATAATTAGGTCTTAGGCGATTATTTAAGAAACAAATAACAGTGAACTTATGTTAGAAATATTTACATGTGTAGTATTAATTAAATAATACTTGTATGGCGATATTTAAATATAATACATCTAGGTATGTGTTTACTGTTTACATTGGTACTATAAATGGTAGGTAAAGATTTGAACAAAACAAAGATTTTTGGCGCTTCTTCGCAAAATCTATTTTATTTCTACGTACTTGCTCTAACTTTATATTTTTATTATTATTTATTTATATTTTTAAAAGCTTTAATAATTTATTTACCATTTACTGAAGCCAACTCGACAGAACCCGATATCCATGATTCATATAACTAGGAAAAAAATATTAGTAATTGTTTTTGAGTTTTTGCACACATTTAGTTACATTATGTTGATTTAATGGAAACGTGCGAAAATTAGTACATAAAAATTTGCCAGAGCTTTTTATGAGTAGTTTTTTACATACCTCTCATTATACCAATGGAAATAAGAGTGTTGTTGTTATCGCTCTAATTAATATATTTATCCCATTGAAGGCCCGAAATTATACAAAGACATATTTTTTTCAGAATAGATTTTTTTTGCGTTTTCGAACCAGCAGAATATTATGATAATAAATACTATTACAATATTGTTTTAACATTAGGATATTTGTAACACCTGTTATTTCTGTTATTATTTAACTTAACTACGATTAAATACGACTAGTAAAATATCATAACATTTTCAAAATATATATTTTTTTCAAATTTTTTACTAATAAAGCTCTTGCGCGCACCACGTGTTCACACACGAAGTGGCGTTTTATATCATTTTGTATATTAGGCATATCATTGTACTAAAAGATTACAGGACTTTAATTGCATTTTCCTATTAGGTTTCAAAAACAGATTACTTAGGTCATTAAATATATTTCCAATATATGGGGGGGTTTAATTTGAAAATACTTATACGCTTTTTAGTTAATAATTTAACCCTTAATTTAACTCTTTCCAATCGCGAATTCAGAGATTTATATGAATTTTGCCATAGCATCCGAGTAGAAAGGGTTAAACTATTTATTCATTAATACAATATTATTCTATACGTTTGCAAATATGCAAAAATAATATGTGGTTAAGGGAGGGAGCAGGATAAGCGGCACATTTGAGTAACATTAAAAAAAAATTTTAGAAGAAAATTTGTTTTGGAATGATTTTTATAAAGGTTTGTTGAACTTGTAGTATAACCGATCGCAGCAACAGTTTTAAAAAATATTAAAATAATTTTCTGTTATCAATTTGTTTTCAACCTGAGTTGGGATACAATTTGTCACCGGTAATATACTCCGCCAGTATAATTATTTTAAAATATGTATTTGGAGCGGTGGGTCCTATCTTATCCTGTCAGATAATTTAATTAACTAACATTAAGCGTAACTTATTATCTATGAATTTTTTTAGGCTCGTTACTTCTTTATATCTTACATGAATGATATACAGGGGCCTCTGTAAGAATATTTTAGTGCTTTGTACACAATGTTTTATTCTAATGAAGTACATAGTCATTTAGGCCCACGATGAAGTATACAATGTTTCTACAGCGCCGGGGCAGTTATATAGTATTTATATCTATTTATTTAAACATTTCTGATAGTTTTATAATTTAGTAGCAATGCAATTACGTATCAAAGCGAATGGCAAATATGTAACATAACTTATTAAATGGTAATATTTTATTTGCACGTTAGGACATGATCCAAATTTTTAAATTTTGCATTTTGCCATTTTATAGCAAAATTTTTAAATTTTGCATTTTGCTATTTTATAGCAATTTGATTTTCTGTCCGTGTGTCACAAGCTTCTTTGTCTAGCTTTCAAGCAATATTACATGAAATTGATTTTAATTACTGCCGGTGACCCATAGACAATTTGCAACTAAAATTATGAAATACGTATTTTCATAGATAATTTGTATTGTTGAATCCTCCCTCTTATACTGGAGAAATTCAAGATGTTCTAATTTTGGATCAGTTTTTGTTTCCACCGTACCATCTAATACTTGTTTAGCCTTAGTTTAGTTTTTGTCTTTGAAGTTTAGTGTAAATGATAATAGTAAATGTGATTTGAGATAATAGATAATTCAGATTTCCAATTTAATTTGGAAGGACTACCACACATGTTAAACAAAACCAAAAATTGTCCAAGGTTGTTTTTGTTTTGTGAGGCATCATTGAATTTTTGTCTTGGTCTAACATTTTGGGTAACCTTCAAAATATTTTGTTTCAGATCAATATAGATAAATCTTAGTAGACTCCCGTATATGCTAAATTAATTTAAAGTTGTTTAGTTATTGTGAGGCATCATTGAATCTTGATTTAGCAATTTGGGAGACTTCTAATAATTCTGAAACTGAATTATACGTCTAAGGATATATCTTTTATGATTTAACTGAAACTGGTATAATGTTAGTTTCTCAAAATTTATTTCTGGTTTTTAGGATTAAATTTTATAATTACCATTCGCAAAGAACGTAACTGCACTTTCTAAATGTATTTGAAAATGACTCAAACATAACAATAAGATATATTTTTTTATAAATTATATAACAAGTTTAATACTGGCCTAAAATTCTAATATTAAAAACGCTTCATGTATTTATGGCGTCTACTTTAGATGATTTAATTACAACTATAATATATTTTTAAAATACATCGTACTTAATTAATTAATTTAGAACGCGTGCTGTGTCAGTAAGCGTACGATCATACATATATTCACTCAGTTTCAAACATTCATAAATTTACATATTATTTTTACCTTTTACAATTAATAACTCATTAACATTAATGGGTTATGTTTCCAAAAAACTTAAAAATAAAATAAGTGAAGATTTTGTTAAACTGCTACTATGTCGAAAAACACAGGAACTTATAAGAAAAATCTTATAAACTTTCTCATATTTTATTTTTATAATATATTGTAACATTTACTATTTATTATATCTTTTTCTCAAAAAGTAGTTATTAGATTGTGTGCTATTGTCAATATAGATTTTAGTTTTTCAATTTAAACACGAGCTCTCGTTTGCTCGCCTTTTTTCTGGTTTTGCATGACAAGTGGAAAAACATACATTATGTGCTTAACAATATCTATAAATAATTTTAACTTAATAAATATAAGCAACTCTATATTAGTTTCGAAGTTTTAATAGTCGTCTGACTTATTATTACTGATCGCTGTTTATATTTTTGAAACCGATCACAAAAACATAAACTAACATTATAACCTTATCAATGCGATAATGGTTCGATTTATAATGAAGCTTTTAATTGCTTATTTATTTCTATTGCATTAATAAAATCTGCACATCAAGACATAAAATATATACGACATTTAAATTTATTTTCGTATTTGGCAGTTACGTTTTGTGACTAACTTGAAGCAAATTTGATGAACATAATAATAAATTAATTAGTAATTGAGTTGCTTATTTATTACTTAACAAACAGTAGTAAACATAGACAGTTGATTAAAAGTTTTCCCCAAAGGAAATAATACGAAATTATTCAAAATATAACTGTAAAAGTCATATTTTGAAGAACATCAAAATGTTTCGGTAATTTGATAGTCGATATTAGTTCTATTACATGTGACTTTTGTGAGGAAACTTCTAACCAGCCGAACTATTGAATACTTTATTTGACCGCAAAGATTTTAATGCATCGCTAAGATTTATGTAGTGAGCCAGAAATTTTGCAAAAGGAAGTAAAATCACACCACATTCGGTTACGCCACTCGCATCAGCGCGCCCAATACGCCCGTAGCGGCCAGAACGGGTGCCACCAGGAGCAGGGACGGCAAGGACACGCTCGCCCCGTTGCAGAAGTCGGTTGTGCAGGAACAATAGTGGACCTGCACGTCGTGCGTGCCACTGCGTTTCACGCATTCCTTGTCGTCGCGTTCGTCAGCAATATAACCACAACCGCGCCATACACGCACCTCGCCGTAAACTGGAAGAAAAAATCACCACCACAATCAATGTACTATTTCTGATTTTGAATTTTTATAATTCTAACCATTAATGAAAAATCTGATTTAATGGGCCAATTCTGCCGTAAAATAAACCAATGTGGCAACGCTATGTTATGCTGCTTTTTCATATAAAATGGTACTAAAAACTGTCAAAATGCTATGTAGGGTAGAGCGGGGCTAGTTGAGCATAGGGGCAAGTTGAGCAATCGAAATATCTCGAAAACTATTCACGTTCAGGCATTATATGGTGGAAAAATAGAGGTTTGGGAGAAATAAACATCCCGCGATCGCTAGTGGCCGCTGGACAAATGAGTGAGGCTCACGGCCGTTTTGTTTATTTTGAGACCAAAAAGTAAAAAAGTTATTCGTTTAGACCGTTTTATTTAGAAGTTTATTTTGAGACCAAAAATCAGATAAATGTTATTCTTCCATATAATTATAGTACTTTTATTATGCACAGGTATAATTCTCACTTTTTTTTTTTATAAACTCACTTTATTTTGAAATACCGAGTTGGGGTCAGTTGAGCATAGTTGCTAAACTAGTTCTGTCACTAAGACAATTACCATTAACTTCCAGAAATTAATTATTATTTTTAAGATTTAAGCTAATTCTATGAGTTATATTATAAAGAAATAATGATTTTAAACAAAAATACTGAATATAAAGGTAAAATAATTCCTAAGATACGATATTGTTTTGTTGATTTTACTTTTCGTTCATTATTCAAAGCAAATTACTATAAGTTTTGTTTTCTCTGTCAATAAAGACTATAAATATAGAACTGGTTATTAAAAACTTATTTTATTTCATCACTAATCGACATTGAACCTATGATTTCATTATACTTTCTTAGTGCTAAACTTGCCCCACCTATGGGGTACATTGAGCATACTTGACTTTTTGCATTTAAACAGCTGTAGCTTTTAAATTTTACTTATTACCAAAAAATAGTAGTAATAACACTTTTGTTAAGCGATAAACAACAAATCCATTAAGCCGTATAGCAATTTATTGAGACTTTTCATTGAAGAGCTACATCCGTTTAAGTAAAAATTTGCTCAACTAGCCTCCTACCATATTTGCTGTGCAGTCAGGCGTTTTGAATATATAACCTAACCCAGAAAACACACAAACGCCAAAGAAAAATCTTATCATAAGTGCATCTTTCTGATGTGGCATAATAATACATGCAAAAAGTTAGAGTTCATATGTAAAACTCATGGCAGCACAGTAAATACACAGCATTTTGACGGTTTTTAGTACCATTTCATATGAAAAAAGCATAACATAGCGTTGCCAAAACATTGGTCTATTTTAGGGCAGCATTGGCTCATGAATGACTTTAAAAAAACTAATTTTGTCCATAATGGCTCACATGACTAAAGGATAATTTAAGGGGAATTCGGGCCTAGAATTAAAAAAAATAATTTTTGGACATTTTTGAAACTATGTAGTCAAGAATATGTGTACAAATGATTTTTCAGAATTTAAATCATTTTCAAAGATATATAGCTGTTAACCACCTTCTGTTTTCTTCCTCTGCGACGCGCGTTTTTTCGAAACTGTCTTTTTCGATACGATACCCACGATTTCTCAACTTTTACTGAACTTTTTACTATTTTTACTACTTTTACTGAACTATTTACTTGAAATTTGTAAATAGTCTTCTTGATAGACTTTTCTTCAGTATGACCTACACTTTTTCCAAAATTCAGATTTTAACTATTTTTACAAAAATCGAGAATAAAAAAAAGTTGCAAAAAGTTTTTGTTTGTAGTTCATGAAATTGCGTCATTCATTATCTAAGATTTATATTATATATATATATATATATATATATATATATATATATTTCTCTTCAGATTATTTGGAGGGCTGATATCATGGGTATGGTCAGGCGTCACGTGCCCATTTTTTGACACCCACTTCATCACCCTCTAGAATTAAAACCTTGAATATTTTTCATTTTCCTTGTCTCTGGACCAGAATAATCCTTTAATAATTCTTTTCGATACATTAAATTAGATGCATTTTACCTGATTATTAAATTCTTAACTTGCATCAAATATATGTGAAAAGAATGTTATATGGCACGATATTTCCGAAAGAAAAATAAAACATATCTACATCGGTTATAACATACGTTTTATCATTTTATTAGTTTATACGAATATTTAATTTGCTAATATACCTCTTAAAATTTATTACTAATCAAATAAAATTTATATGCCTATAAAATAATAAAACTCTACAGTAAGATCGCTATTATCGAATATTTTTAGTTTTTGATGTTTTTGATGATAGAGTCGTAAGTTGCTCTTAATTTTTTGTGACATTATTATGGTGAAGCTACATAAAAATGGTGTTACGCTTTGGTGTAAATTTTTTAATAATTAAAAGTGTCTCATTGGTAACTAATTAGTATTAATAAGAACAAATAGAATAGCTCTAATTAGCTTCTGTTATGTGTATCAATATCAATTAGCATTTGTTAACTTTTGCAGTTAAAGCTCTACTAATACTTGTATATTCTGGTTTCGCGTCGTGTAAATATTATAATGACTCAAGTACACAAAGCATGTTTAGAAAATTCATTAAAAAGCAATTTAAATAAAAGACAAACATAAATAAGATAATTGCATATTAATTAGTATACATATATTTAATATATTTATTATTAAAATGTATTTTATTACTTTTTTGTGTCATTTTTCTGCAAATATTGTGCTTGACATCAGGGACGGCAGGTACGATCATGCTGCAGTTCATAATTCCTAGAGAGTACGGATTGAACGGATCTGCACATCTTGGGTCGTATCTGCTGTTACACGCGTAGCACAAAAGTGCGTCACCTGGAAAAGAAAATTTATATTCCACAAATTGATTTTTTTAATGTTAAACACAGAACTTAATTTTTAAATTATCGGCATGTAAGCTGTAACTCGAAAGATTTGCAATCTTGATTAAGAGAGAGAATCATTGCAATCTAGCTCCTCCCTCCTTAAGTAATACTTCTAACATGAACAAGAGGTAAGAGAAAGGCCGGAGGTAATGAGTAAATCAAAATTTGTACTCTTATGTAACCTTAAAATCTAATGACATTCCGATTTCTTCGTTGATGTACGCCCGTGAACCGAAACGAAAAATCTCTATTCACTCGACACGACGACTAAGCACAATCGACCCGTTTAAAAATGATTTCATCGAGAGCGAATGACGAAGAGTTCGGGCGTAACGCAACTTCCGTTGCATTTTCACAGGTTTACTCCCTAGTCGCGCCTAAAGAAATTTTACTTCAAAAACAATCCTGATTAAATGTGCGCATATTTAATGCTTCCTACCAAAGCTCTTTAAAGCCTTTTTTTCAATGGAAGGCAATTCAAAATCGACAAATTTTGAAAATTTCAACTTCATAGTTCAACAAATAGTCTAAATTCTAGAATACTTGTGGAAGTCTGGCAATTGATTTACTTTTTTCTACTGTGAAAGAAGTGCTAGAAATGTTATTTAGAATTACGATTCCAAAGTTTAAAGGAACAAAAATGATAAAAATTATTCACCGAACCAAAAAATAGTTACTTTTGAACAAATTCCTAGGTTTTTCTTAAATACCGACGACGAGATTTTAACCGAGGGATTAAACATTTTTTCTAATTTTTTTTATGACGGTTATATATATATATATATATATATATATATATAATTGTATATTCAAAATGTGATAATAGGGACGGCAATGATAGTGACAATGAAGGTTAAACATATAGGCAATGGTAAAGGACAGCGAAGGCAATAATAGTTTGGACAATGGTGATGTTAGGTATAATATCATTTACACCTATTATTTGTTTACATAAATCATCGTGTCTTATACCTATGGAATTTCAGATCATTGTTTATTATTGTATTCTTAGTTAGACTTCAATTTATTTACTTTCATTCTACTAAAAAGGCTAAAATTCTATAATAGTCATAATATGTTTACTTTACCAATCCCTTACTTGATATGACAGTTGCTTTACAAATAAGTGTAGAGGCTGAATAAATTACTTTATTTTCTTTAACAGTTCTCATCTAATCATTTACTAATGCACTTCATGTTTTATATTTACAGTTTTACTAGAGATGGTCAGCAAGCATGTTGCCAAAAAAGTTTTTGCACGTCGTATTGAAGAGAAATATTTTTCAACCTATGCTGATTTTAAAATATCATGAGATTTATGAATTCTAATCTCTTTATATTAATATTCTCATATTTTGAAATGTAATTTTATATCTAAATTGCATGTATGTGTATTTAACACAATGTTTCAATTAGATTCTTTTTGTAAAAGCCCGCATACAGGTTTTTTTCAAAAACGCATCGACATTTAATATAGCAATCGAGTACTGAACATGTCAATTACTGGACATTTTATGTGTTTTTCCAATACATTTATTTTCCATGGGCGACATTGTTTTCGACGCTCTTTATTTTACAGCAATCGCGTTTATTTGATTCTGATCAATAGATATAAATACTTGTTAACTTTGTTTCAATATTAAATTATAGAAAATGAAACTTATGCAATTGATTAAACGAAACTTAGGCAATATAGTTAACAGTAGATTTGCGCCGGGATCAGAAAGCCAATTGAAATTCAATTAAACATTCGATGAGTTGGCTGTAGTTTTGGGAACATAATGATGCACTAAATTTGAATGTATAATTTAATACTGATATGCTAAAAGCGATATATCATAGATCGATATGATTTTTAATTTTAATCCTTAATGTGTTAGATATGCTAATTTATTGATGTTCTTCCGAAATGGTGAAATATGTGGTTAAATATTAAAATGCTGCGTGTAAATAGCCTTTTACGATTTTTTTTATTTTTATTTTAATTTATTCAAGAGATCTGATAAAGTGTTGCATAACATAAAAACCCAAAGATTAAATACATTCTGACGGAATTCTTCATTTGCCACCTTATTAAATTCGACTATCTACATAAAAGATATTTGTGCCTCACAGCATGTTGGGTTCATTGCGTTTATTTATTATTCTATCGTTATAAATGGTTTTAAAAAATCCTTAACAGATGCGTCTTTTGTATAAATTTTCCTTAGAATGTAGTCGCGTTAGGAAAAACTTAATTATGTTTTAAAGGTTTAATGTGTTCGGTAAGCATAGTTTTGAATTGTCTGCGATTTTTTAAATTGTTTTCATATTATAGTTGTTTCATTGAATTTGGCTTGGTTTCTCCATTGTAAATTGAATTGCGATCTAAGCAATTAATTGAATAAAACCAGATTTCGATTGAAAGACAATCGATTTTAAAAGAATTTTTTGTCATTGTGCTAAAATTGTTGACTAGTCGGAGTTCTAATTTATAAAATAATTTTTTCCAAGAAAAATAGAGTATACTCTATAGATGACACCAGCGTGAGTCTCTACGTCAAGTAAATATTATTGTCAGTCGGTTGTAATTTTTTTGTTTTTGATACGATACGTTTGTTATTAGTTATAGTTATAGGATTGATTAGGTTTAAAGGGCAAGAGTTGTCGGTTAACATTTAATTGATATGCCGGTAATAAATACATATTATATATAATATATATTATATATATATATATATATAATGTAGTCTCGTTAATTCACTGTGCTATGACTAATTCAATTGAAAGGTTGGGGCTTCACCAGCATTTCAAGTGTTAAAAAATTCTGAAGTTATTCTACGCTGTTCATACTCAAGCTCTTCATGGATCATTAATCGAAGTGCATTTTTGTCGAGTAACTTTGCATATCATTGATGGAACAGTGTGCCATTTCATTGTTAAATCGATTAGAATTATAATAGGATTACTGTTGCTACGCCCTTACTGTTATATAATACAAATCATTCGAGACTGTTACGTTAAATGATGGCTTAAGACGAGTAGGAGTTAAGTCCTGTATTTGAAAAGCACAAATCCGGGGTAATGGATATATGTATACATATATTTCATTATTATATATATCATATGGATGTATTAGATTAAACGTTTTTTGTTCATTGATAATCTTTAGCATAGAATTTTTTAAATATCAGATCAACACCTTTTTATGTGTACATTACACATTTTAATGAAAATATACATGACGAATATTGATAAGCTGCATTTAATTTCAAACCTCTATCTCCCCTATTATATATTCAATAATATCATTATCAAATTTTGCATCAAGTATGAAAACTATTCTATGGTTTCTAAAAATTGTTGTTATAAATTTTATTATTGTAGAGATTAATGGTTAAAAAAGATTGTATATTTGATAGTGATCCCCTCTCTTATGAAACGCGGTTGTCGGAGCGACCGTCAAAATCGTAGCACTCGTAGTGCTACGTGGCCTCCTTTTCTTGACACATAAAACCAAAACTGCAGGTTTAGTGAATCTGATAATCTATCAAAATGTATTATACCGATTGTGGTAAATATAATATGTGGTCTTTGATTATGGATTGAGGTAATATTTACTACAAATTTGTGGCCACAAATTATTAACCATACGTTTTGACCAGTAGATTTTCTATCATTTTAGCCAAACTGGGCGACTATCATTTTAGCAATTGAGCCCAACTGGTCGACTGGAAATTAAAATTAACTTATAAAGATAAATATTCAGGTTATGATTAGTAATGATCGACGGCTAATAAAAAATCAAACTGATAAAAATGTATCCTTAATAATTTATAACGTATAGTTAATAAATAATTTATAGCGTATAGTTAATAAATAATTTATAGCGTATACTCAATAAACAATTTATAGCGGTATAGTTAAAAATAATTTAATTGAGATTTGCGATGCTAATTGATTTAAATATGCTTGCAAATCAGATAGCATTGAACGAATCATGATTATGACTGATCGTTGATGATGTATTATTATTTTATAGGGTTATACAAAAACCGACATCTTAGGAAACCGGTTTTCAAATAGTATCCCGGAAACGGTTTTGACCGGTTTCTAGTTTTCATATGAAAACTATTTGCTCGAATTATTCGAACAAAACAGAGAATTTCGAGTGTTTTAATCACTCACAGCAGTTTTAGACTGAATTATTTATTTCAATTTTACTGATATTTGTTATGCAATTTAGTGAAACATAAAAATTGACCAGGATTAAATAATTTAAAAAAAAAATTATTACCCGTTGTTTATGCCAAATTTTTACATACAGGGTGTAAATATTTCTATAATAGTGAAATGAAAGACTGCTTTGGATTTGCAATAGTATTTTTATCATTCCGGTGCATTTGGCATCGAAAACCGGTATTTTCTACTAAAACCGGTTCTTGAAAACTGACAAATCTTAGGTAATATCTATTTTTTATTATTTATATTGCTTCTTGATTCATTATATGCAGTTCTAATTATGTATTTTTATTACGTAGTGCTCTACATATATGAAAAAAAAATGAATGAAAATACAGGAAGAAATTCAATTGTCAAGTATTGGATAGCAAATATCCATGTCCTTAAGTATTGGAACAGTATCCTGTTCAGAAGTGAAGACCCTTTGTGTTTTCTTTATATGTACCTTTTTCTCGAGATCTTTCAGATAAATTATTTATTTAGGATATAATATGGTATCGCCGCTG